TATTTCTAAAATCACCATTTCTCTCAGATCATTAACGTACATCTATAATCCTTGAATCTGTCTGTCACAGTTAGCAGTTGCGAGCGCCGTAAAACCCTATACTAATATATAATATATACATATGTAACAGTTACCTGTCATAGAAGTATGCACATAATACACTTTTGGACACTATCATACTATCATACGTACTTTTTTCTACTAATCAGATGGCGTCAGTCTCATGAATGGGCAAGAGATTTAAAAACAAAAAAGTCCAGTGAGTAGTGTTGCAAGTGGATGACGTTGGCTGATCAGTTTGCATAATGTGTACTCCCTGCTTTAAACAAAAACCCAATCAAAACCAAAATTAAAATACATATTAAGGCATTCTCATTAGATCAATACATGTATTTATACAAACCCTCTACTCCAGCGCCTAAACTGGGCTCTCCAAAGTGTATCAAAGTAAGATAACATTAACAGTGTACGAAATGTCACTGAAAAAACACTATACGTTATTTAAAGACACAGAATTGAAGACATCAGGTAAAAAGAGGGCATGGGATCGAGCTTGGCACTCACACCGAGAGTCAACAAATCACATGGTTTGGATACGTTGTGAGAATGGTGCCACACCAGCCAACTCCAAAGGCCTACAAAATGAGATTCCATGGCTTGAAAGGAAGAAGAAAGCGGAAAAAGAGAAGGGACGACGGAGGCACACTCTCAAAGGGAACAACATGATCCAAAAGGTATAGATTTAATATCTTGAATACTTTAAATTGAAAAAAAATGGTTCAGCATTTTGAGTCACGCGTTTTTAGGATTGTTACACGTGACGTTGCACATCTCCGTCGCAACGGTTTAACATTATAGGTTGAATCTCTCTCTTTGTTGAAACCGCCCTGAACAAAATTTGATATCTTTTCTCTGAGACATTAAATGTATGGCAACACTTTGTACGATAAACGGGAATTCAATTTCATACCGCTTGAGGTTAAGTGTGCATGGAATGGAATAATTCCGCCAACTGTTTCTCAAGATTTCTTTACAAATTTTCAATTGTACTGGGATTTTTATGTTCAATTTGAGTAGCTGGTTTTGAGTTACTGAAAGAAGATATTTTAGCTCTCTTAATGTCAGCGTTGCCTATTTACCTGTCATTGGTCGAGTTTTAAATGTTGAAAATTATTTAAATGGACTAAATGGACGCCATATGAAAACGTAATACATCGAATTGTCTATTCCAGCGGTATTTATCACTCATTTTTGTTTTGATGAGTGTTGGACGGCGCTAGCAACTGCATATGAGCGCGCGAGTCACATTAAACATTTTAAGCTTGGTAGTTTGAATTTTGCCCAGAAGTCGGCCGAAGCCTACTCTTATCGGTTCTGGACCACCAAAGGATCTTTAATGTGCAGATCTTGTACACAGGACCTCCGAGATATTTCGCCCGTATCTCCCTATCATCTATCTTTCAGTCTTGTATCGACACTTGAGATTTTATTTTAAACGTCTAGATGGGTGCCACAGGAAACGAAGAGCGTTCTTTTAGTAAGGCAACTGGTTTAAATATTGTAGGTCCTGTGGTTACTTTTTCCCGAAAAAAAATCTGTCGTGTGCTTGCTGCTTTATTAGAAGAGGATTTCCTTCCACCTCTATCTAATACCGGGTGCCCATTGCGGATGGGATCAGGCCGTGTTGGGTTGGGTCGATCGCCCGACTGGTCGCCTGGAAACAAATGCGTTTGTTTTTGAGGCGACATATCGGGCGTGATCGGCTCGTGCCACAATAGCTGCTTTACGCCCTTTAATCTGGCTAGGAAACCGACCCGACCGGACCCGATCGTGCAAATGGCCATCCTGTATAACTTAGTGCCACATTCTGTATTCTGTTGTACTTTTCTTCTTACTTTATTATTTTTTTTACAAGTAATCCGATTGATAGATCAAACAGTTGAGAAGACATTTATAATAATATAACTACGCCTGATCTTTAAGCATATTTGAATATTATCAGAAAGGTGTCAGACACGTGTTCTCCTTTATAATATATTTTGTATTGTAAGAGTCAAATGTGGCAGTTTGGAGCACGCCGCTGGTTGGCCCTACTTCTTTTCTTTCCCTTGTTGTTTCTGTCTGTCTCTCTGTCTGCGTGTCTTTCTGTCTGTCTGCCCTACCTTTTCCCAGCACTAACCGATCATTTTTGTGTCCTTGTGCTTTTCTTTACTCAAACAAACAAACAAACAAACAAATAAAAGTAAAATGTTTGTTTATAAAGTCCCGTACTAAAACTACAGTACTAACAATTTTCGACTTCCTGGAAAGAAGGCAGTGCAAGCAACCGATTAGGCACTCAATCAAACATATTTACAAACCGACAAGATATTTCGTCGTCTTCAGTCAGGTATCCATTCCCACTGGAGGTAAAGTGAGGAAAATTCGTGAGGAATGCCTTCCCCAAACATACAACGTCGTGCCCCAGACAGGGTTCGAACCCACGTACTTTAAGACACTCCTCCCTTGTGTGACATTGCTGGGTGGCCTCTCTCCTATTGGCTTTCCTATCACGTACTACATTTAAACATAAAGATTGTAATTTTGCTAAGGCTTGGGTCAGGTGTGTGTGTGTGTGTGTGTGTGTGTGTGTGTGTGTGTGTGTGTGTGTGTGGTTAGAAGATGTCACTGATGGAACTTGCTGCTTTTCTTTCTCACAGTTGCTTCTTTTTGTCTTTCTTTTTCATCCTTACTATCGTCATATTCCCTCTACTTTTTTGTGTGTTTGTCACTCTCTTGAGAACTGCTATTTTTTGGGTGCCTTAATAGTCGAAGCAGACTTTGTTCTGTTGAGGCTAGAGAGGAGAGCAGAGTAAGCCTGATCTCCCGTTGTGACTTCTCTGTTGACACCCACCCGTTGGCGCTCATATGACCTTATGCAATTGCGAGCGCCTTAAAACCTTACTAAAACTAAAACTTACTTTTTCCGAGCACTAACTGACTTTTGTAATATCAATGGGATTCTCTTTACTCAAACAAACAAAGAAGCAAACAGCTGTACTTTCTCTTTTCGGCAAATTCTCCCCAGGTTCCGAAACTGCAGTCTTGCTTGGACCAAATGAACCTCTTTACTTGAGGCAAGCAAATTATCTTGCTATCTCCATGGCAGCTTCTGTTTTTCCAACTCGCGCTGATTTCCTCTGTTGTCTGGGACCTGACATGTTTTTGTCTGCGGCTTTCATCTCTTCATAATGTGCCCC